TTGAAGATGCCGGCCTCGGAGACGCTCCATATGCGGAGGTGCTTCGGGCCGATCTCGGGCAATACTCTAACTTGGGCTTTCTAAGGGCTTCCAAGTGTTTCAATCACTGGAAGGGTTTTTGTACTTTTTTTTCACATTATGGATGACGTGTGGGAGTATTGAAGGGAAGCCTATACCATGCCTAAACCGTGCTAAATCTACTGCGATTTTATGGCCAGGTCGGGGTGGCTGCAAAACACGCGCAAGACAAAAGTTTGAAGCGTAGCTGGGTCGGAGGCCATGCGGGAGTTGAATGGCCAAGGCGCGCTACGGAAGTGCTGACGTACCAACAACCGCTACATTGTAACAAACCGTGGAGCAACCCTGGCTACCCCGCTACTACTCCAAGCGCGAAGCATCGCGAAGCAGAACAAAACGGCATAACATAGCGGCGTCTTCACATAATATCTTCACTGCCCATGTACTCTGGCAGGACATTGAGAAGTCGGGAGTCTACTGAAAGCCACAGCTTTGGTGTTGAGCTGACAGGAGCATCAAGTTGAGACTCTTTGGATCCCATGAGCAGCATGTGCTCAGCGGATGGCAATCCCTGTAGATAAAAGAATCCACACCAGGGCTCAATTGCATCTGTAGGTCATATTAATACCCTCAAGCCAAAAACAACTACTCCCTAAAGTCCTCAAAGCCTGTCCTGTGAAGCTTTTAGTAGGCACCCTTTCTCAGAGCCCCAAGCATCGCCTTCCTCCGCCAAAAACTCTACATCCGAGGTGGCCGAAGCGTCGGCTTCGCGCCTTGCAAAAGCGGCTGCCGATGCCCAGTCGGGCGCCAACCACCTGGTGGGCTGCTCTTGTTTCGATATGTTTCGATCATGTCGGGTTCCATGTTTGCGCTTTTGTGTGCGAGCGTGCCGAGCACTCGAAGAATTTGCCGTCTAGCCAGCAGTTATGCTTGAGGATGTTTGAGGTGGGAACCGTTTCAGCGTAGGGCTACATCAGATGTCAGAAGCGTGCAAATGCGTGCACGCCAAATTTGCACAGCCTGAAGATGCTATATTTTCAATACTTGGGGCTGGGGTGCCCTGGGATTCAGAACCCTGTCTCCCAACCGGACAGCAACACTTGGCACAGGCCGGGGACATGGTTGCGCACTGGCAACAACATCTGTGCAGTGGAGGCCTTGAAGCAGGAGTGGCTCGCCTTCGTGGTTTGTGGCAAGTCGTGAGCAAGTCTCTGCTCCGTCTGTGCCGTTGATGGCTTCAACTCTTGGTCGAGACCCGACTTTTCAAGTCATCAGCCTCCCTCTAGCCTAGATTGATTCTCTTTTGGCCGTGGCAAGGGCCTTTTCTCCCACTGGGCTTTTTGCCCTTGTTTGTACAGGTGGCCAATCCTATCATTTACGCCAGATCACTTCGCACATGGCAGACGAAAATCCCTGCCTATATGCTGTACGAGGTGTAGTGCGGGGCAACGGAGTCATGCCGACCCCGGTGAAAAGAAATCTTTGCCACAGGTGCCAGACCTCACTGCGTTTCGGGATTTTCAAAAACCCTAAACCCTAAACCTATAAACCCTAAATACGTAAAGCCCCTGAACCCTAGGGTAGGCTTTGAAAATCTGATACTCAATCTTGGAATGGGGATTCTTTTTTGGAATATTGATTCTCATTCTTTCAATTTTGTTATTTTGAATTTGATGATTTTTGATATCATTCATTCAATTCCTCCATTCATAGTTGATTTCATCTCTCGATGTACAGATTTGTTGATGGTTAGAGGTTGGGTACCGTATTTTTTTTGTGATTTTTTCTGTTTTTTCTTTGGTGTGTGTGTGTGTGTGTTTTGTCCTTTTTTTGTCAAATTTAAGGCACGAAAGAAAGGAAGGAAGGCAGGAAGACAGGAAGAAAGAAAGAAGGAAACAAAGAAAGACAGAAAGGAAGGAATCAAGAGGAAGAACAAATAAGGAAAGAAAGAAAGAGAGGCAGGAATAGAAAGAAAGACAGCAAGAAAGAAAGAACTGAAGGAAGGAATAGAAAGACAGATTGAAAGAAATACAGAAAGAAAGAAAGGCAGGAATAGAAAGAAAGACAGAAAAATCAAGAAAGAAAGAAAGAAAGGCAGGACTAGAAAGAAGACAGAAAGAAAGGCAACAAATAGAGAAATAGAGAAAGCAAAAAGGAAAGGCAGGAATGGAGGAAGAAAGAAAGCAATAAAGAAAAGCACAAGATAGAAAGAGATGAAAAGCACAAGATAGAAAGAGATAAACAACGACAGCAAGAAAGCAAGAAATAAATAAAGGAAGGAAGAGAGGAATAAAGGAAGAAAGAGAGAAATACAGCAAGAAAGAAAGAATAAAATAATAAAGAAATAAAGGAAGGAAGTGAGGAAGAAAGAAAGGAATAAAGAAAGAAAGAACGAGAGAAATAAATAAAGAGAGCAAGAAAGCAAGAAAGACAGAAAAAAACCGAACGAAATACATAAAACAAAAAAGAAAGAAAGAAAGGAAGAAAGGAAGGATGGAAGGAGTTTAGGGTTCCGCTCGCTTCGCACGTTCTTGGTTGACCGTAAAAACCCTACGCCTTAAACTATAAAGCGCTGCAATACACGCTGCAATCCACTCAACTCGCGCCCTTCCGGTTCTATCCTCCCAGCACTACATTGTACTACAATTCAATGAAAATTCCTCAGCTTCCCACGCCACAGCACGCGCCCCTATCCTCCCAATACTATTACAACTCAACGAAAATCCCTTAGCTTCCCGCGCCGCGGTACGCGCCTCCGGCTCTGTCCTCCCAATACTACATTTATACTACTTTACAACGAAAATCCCCCTCCGATTCTGTCCTCCCAGTACTACATTTGTACTACAATTCAACGAAAATTCCTCAGCTTCCCGCGCTGCAGTACGCGCCGCAGTCCGCTCTCGCGCGGGCTCTGTCCTCCCAATACTACATTTGTATTTTACAATTCAACGAAAATCCCTCACCTTTCCGCGCCGCAGTAAGCACCGCAGTCCGCTCTCGCGCCCCTCCAGCGCTATCCTTCCAGTGCTACTTTATGTGACAATTCAACGAAAATCCCGCGCCGCAGACGCGCCGTAGTACGCGCCGCAGTCCGCTCTCGCGCCCCTCCGGCCCTGTCTTCCCAATACTACATTTGTACTACAATTCAACGAAAATCCCTCAGCTTCTCGCGCCGAAATATTGATGAACACGAAACGAGATGCTGAACGATTATATCAGCTGGGAGAGATCGTAGAACGTTGCGTAACAAGGAATATTGGATACGAACCGATGATTTCGAAAATTCAGGGGATATAGAGGATGGAGGATTTTTCCTATTGAAAAATATCCATATATTACATGATGAAACGTTCGTAGATCAAGAAAAACTTCCAGAATTGAATGATAGATGGATGATGTTCGGTTCATAATGAATTATATTCGATTTATACTGAGGATTATAAATTACAATCCATAGATAACGAACTATATAAGAGGATTTCATCACATCTCGGATCTGGACCAATGATAATTGGTCTGGTAAATCCAGATATCGGGAATATTGAGACTTAATTTGATATATCCAGATATCGTATCCGAGAGAGAGAGAGAGATTTATATATATATATATATATATGTATATTGCCGGAATGATAACGATAGATCAAACAATCAAAGATAGAAATAAAATGTGAAGATATCCTGTCCTTCGTGGAAAAAGACCCGAAATACAAGGATGGGATTCCCAATCGCCCATCAATATCACAAGAGATCCACGCATCTTTAAAATCTTGTTGGCTAGATGCGAGTGGTAAATCGCTCTCCGTGCTAGCAGCTGCTGGCAACTAGGGGATTTAGCATGGGGATCACTCTTGGCATCGAATAATTGGGCGCGCTCCAGAGATGAGCGAAGAATAAACCGAACGAAGAGAAGAATTCCGAATGAGAAGACGAATTGCATGTAGAACCTAATAATCCAGAACGACCGAGGGCGGACAATCAGTATGTAAAAAAAAGAAAAACATATTTTCATCTTCGTAGAGAAGGATCGCCATAGAAATCCGAATAATCTGTGGATGGAAGAGACCCTGGACCTTAAGATTTAAATAATCTCTATGAACCCATAGAAATCCTATAAACTTACGAGATTAAGGGTTCTCAGAATTCTAAGAATTCTACGAATTTCTAAAGGTTCTAAAGACTCTAAGGATCTTAAGATTGTATTTCGGTAAAATCGAATGGTGCAAGAGATTTTTTTCCCCAAAATCATCAATGAATGAATCATGATTCTAAATCCAATATTATTCGAAATCCAATATCAAGGAAATAAGATTCATATTCCATCAATGATATAATATAAAGAAAATCAGATATCAGAAGAAATTATAAAGATAAGAAAAAGACAAGCGATCATAGGGCCTATCATAATTGAAAAAGCCTCCCCCGCCCCGAATTAAATCCCAGATCCCATAGTCGAAAATGTCCACGACTCAAATCGTAGAATTCCTATATAAATGAAGAGAGAAAAAAGGCATCAGGATTGCCGACGACGCACCGCTGGCGGCAACAAAACGCCCGCGTATGGATCCCCTCAAAAGAAGAGGCAACCTGCTTCCAGATGTTCAAGATAAATTACGGCGAACTGGACCATTGTTGTGTCTAGCCACGGCCTGATGAGTCATACTGTCTACTGGGCCTCATTGACTTTATGCATTCTCGCCTCTTTTGTGTTCGGGCCACATGGGCACGTGCAGTCCGAAAACTATAGTCTTCCCTAAGGTTGCAAGTGATGCTTGACGTCCGCAGCCGTTTCGGATTCCAATTACTGGATTCACTTTGCTTTCCGGATACCGATGCCGGGGCGTGTGGCTTCATCCATGCCCTTGTTCACGTGGATCACATGGATCTTTTCCATGTTCGTTTTGGTAAATGCGGTCGAGGACAGGGTGTGCATCACAGATTCCCATCCACTGCGCCACGTTCAAGAGCCTGGCCTTGATCAGGAGTCATCATGCGTGTCCTCAGCTTGCATCGAATCCCGGTCGAAGAGTCTGCTCCAGCACAAGATGTCTGCCAACGGCCAGGCATGTTTTTTCGCTCACCTTTTTAGAGCAGCTTGTTTGTGCCAGGCCTCTAGTCACACGGGGGGGTGCAGATGCAGTGAGAGATGCCGGCAGATTGTTCGGCCTTTGATGCATGTAGAGAGTAGACGTGAATCGTCTTGGACCCTGTATATTTTGTAAACCACTTCCCTGTCTGCACCGGTCATGGATTCGGAAGTCACCAATCCTCGCAATCCTCTGCAGAAAAGTGGCGGCCTGCAGCTGGATGAGTTGGCTGAGGCAGGTTTCCACCCCAAATGCGATAGGCACTGAGATGCAGGCCTAGGACTCCTGACCATTCGAGAGCAGGCAGCTTTGATGTCCAGCCTTCTGGGTGGGCTTGCGATCTAGACATTTTCCGGGTTTCGGTTCGGATTTGCGAGTCTTCTGTCTTGGCACGGCTGCAGGAGCTGTCGGAGCTGTCGGCAAAGCTTCGTGCACAAGAAGAAGGGCTGCAAAAGGGCAAATCGTCCTTGATTTGGCCGGAAAGCTCAACTGAATCCAGCCAAGTGGTGTTCAGGCAGTTTTTAGGCTCCGGTTTATGTTCTTGTCGAGATTTCTGGAAATCCAGCTTGCTAATGTAAAGACGTCCAACTTGACATCATGGTCACTCAACGATTGAGGCATCGACAAGAAAGACAGCGAAGTCTTGCTGCTTGGCAAACAGATCACTGGCTAATCTCCACTGGTGCAATTGATCACTGGCGTCAAGGATCGAATCTGCGGGCCACTCCCCCTTCCCTCCCCTTACCAGCTCCCCCACCCCCCACCCCAAAACAGGGCGCAGCTCACTGCACTGGTAGAAGGTGGAGGCTGCTCGACCGGGTGGAAACCCTCGGCAATCTAGTCCACAAAGAAAAGCAAGACACCCTCAGCAACATCAAAGCAACGGCAGCAAGTCTCCTGAATGGCCTGGGATCGTGTCGCCGATCCCAACTTCAGGCCCGCTGGGCTTCGCGAGGCCTCCCATCTTCCCACTCTCGGGACCGCAAAAGCTAAATAGTTAAAAACGCCTCTTCGCAATTGGGAGGGCTTTACAACTTCCCGTGTCCCGCAGTCTGCAGTGGGAAGACCGCGGTGTAGCTGGGCGACGTGGAGTGCCCTCACCCCTAGATGGATGAGGATTGTGCATCCGCCCACATCGCGCCAACTCTCCGGTGGACTTTGTTGGTGTCTCCACCCCAGATTGCCCTGAGCTCGTGGAAGCTTGCTTCGCACATCCTCACACCGTGATCTGCAAGTCCTGTTGATGCTGGCCGTGTAGCAGAGGGCGGAGGATGGTCCGAAGATGTCCGAAGCCACCGCCGCTTAAATCCGCTTGGCATTCCGCGGCCATTTTACGATCCAAGTTTCTCAGCCGTGGGCGGGCGTCGGATGTGGTGCTGTTGCTAAGTGCAATACTCTTCACATGCGTGGGTCTGGCTGGAGTTTGTTTGTGTCATCCCATTGCAAGCTCAGCGCGGAAATACTGTTCGTCACTGCAGGAAATCAATTCGGGAGACAACTCTGGTCCAGTAGATTACTTGATGCTCATCATGAGGTTGGGTCACTCTTGAGTGTACGCGTGAGTGTACTTTACGAAGAACGGTGTCGAAGCAAAGAGATCAAGAGGGCGATTCCACGCCCCTGACTGGCGGGTACCTAGTTCAGGTCCCACCGCAATACACTCAATTCGGTGGGCAGCAATCCATCGGACCGGGAGGCAGGAGCCCTTCCAAGGTTTGCAAGGATCGGGAACTTGTGAACATCAGAGTTTCAAAGACTACATGCGCCAATCCTGTAGGCCTCCCCAGGACAGTCCAGGATCTAGGACAGATTCCCGTAGAAGGTCCCCAGAGGCCCAGAGGGTCGAAGCGTGGAAGTGTTTTTCGGAGGTGCACGATGGGCGCTTTGAGCTTTGCCATGCTCAGCCTGGCCAAGCTTTGGAGCAGGTTGGGGAACGCTTTTTTAAGAGTCTCCCGCAGTGATCAGCGCGGCTGAGATCTTGCGTGGCGTTGTGATGCGTTGCGCAGGTTGAGGGTGATTGGTTCTTTAGAGATTGCGCAGGCCTTGAAGCCATGTTGCACGGCTGGGCATATGGTAGAGGATGAGTTGGTAGGTCGGGGCAGCATACTAGCCTGAGTGGCAATCTCGAGCGAAAGCTATTTTAGGATTCAGGCAAGTAGAGGGTATGAACGCGGGAACCCGAAAGGTCAAGCCCGAATGCGAACATGCCGAGCCGAAACCAGCAACCGGGGTCTCCACAGGTGTCAGAAGATCTCAACACGTCCTCTTCAACGCTTGGTGGCTGCAGCGACTCAGAGGCCGTGCCTTACTTTACCAAAAAACTTCGATCAAGTAAGGTTAGCTGCGAGTCGTAAGCCCTCAACGTCAGTCGATTGCTCGGCAGCTCCACACCTCAAGGACTCACGGACCAGCAGCTCTAGGTTTTTGGGATGCAAGTTTTGGTCTGCGACTTCTCTGCTGTGCCAGGGTCAAAAACGCAAATTGAGCTAGCAGTACGTGTGAATACCAAAACAAGCCATTGTGGTATTGCCAGACAGTACTGGACGGGGTTGATCCGGTATGTTCCGTTGCTTGCCGTAGCAGCGAGCTGAGAACTAGGAAGCGAAAGATTCTCTCAAAGGCAGGCACCTGCAGAGCAGGAGTCCAAGTAAGACAAGCTAATTCACAGTCTCAGCTTGAATGTTCAAAGGGGGGGGGGACTGACTCACTGATGCCTAGATGCTTCTGCTTTGAACATGCTTGAATCGTGTGTGAAAGGTGGTGCTGTTTTCGCCGACGGACTCGCAGCCGTACTTCACCACGGAATGTTGCCCTGTCAGCGAGGCCGGCAAGGGCATGTACCAACTCATCAACATCTCCTTTACATGTTGATGATCTGCAAGTTTCACGCATGCATGCCATGAAGCCGTATCAAAAACCCCTCTGACTTAGACTCTCCATCGCTTAAGTCTTGAACCGGAAGATAGTCGTAAACATGATCCCAATCCGCGATAACTGCTCTTCCAGGACTTCTGTGCTGGCTGCGCGAAGCTGAACAGCGACAAGACAGCCTGTGAGGTGTGCAGCGGAGGCTTCTCGAAGAGCAGCTGCGCGACTGCACGAGTTTTAGTGCTCAGAGTCTAGAGTCTGCAATATACCAGGGTCCGAGGAAGAAGCAAGAACGCGTAGAGCAAAGCCAGATGTTGCAGTCGCGCTGTCTCGCATGCATACATATAGACAGAGAGAGAGAGAGAGAGAGACGCCGGCAGAAGAAGAAGAAGAAGAAGAAGAAGAAGAAGAAGAAGAAGAAGACGAAGAAGAAGAAGAAGAATAAGAAGAAGAAGAAGAGAGATGAGAGAGATGAGAGAGACAAGACGGAGAGAAAGAGGGGAAGAGAGAAAGAGAATCCAAGAGAGAACGAGAGGTTTTTGGGGGTACAGTTTTTTTTTTTTTTTTTTTCTGTTTTTTTCCTGTTTTTTTGTGTCAAATTTAAGGCACGAAAGAAAGGAAGGAAGGCAGGAAGACAGGAAGAAAGAAACAAACAAAAAAACACAGAAAGGAAGGAAGCAAGAGGAAGAAATAGAGAAAGGAACGAAGCAAGAGGAAGAAAAAAATGAAGAAAGAAAGAACGGCAGGAATAGAAAGACAGACAGCAAGAAAGAAAGAAAGAAGGAAAGAAAGGAATTGAAAAAAAAGAAAGAAAGACAGAAAGAAAGAAATAAAGGCAGGAATAGAAAGAAAGACAGAAAAATCAAGAAATAAAGAAAAACACAGGGCTAGAAAGAAAGAAAGACAGAAAAAACGAAAGACAACAAATAAAGAAAGAGAGAAAGAAAAAAGGAAAGGCAGGAATGGAGGAAGAAAGAAAGGAATTAAAAAAAACACAAGAAATAAAGAGAGAAACAACGACAGCAAGAAAGACCGAGAGACCCTGATCTAGGTCAAAAGGAAAGTGTTCGTCCAAACCGCCCCAACAGAGCGACTGAGGTGACGGCCGGTGCTATGCCTGCATGGACCTGCCTGGATGGCAGAACAAGGCCAGAAGTGGCTTCGGAACTTGTGTTCTGCTTTGGAACTTGAGTGTGTTGGGGGTAAGACCGCAAGATGCAGGATGGCCCATCGAGTGCTTCGAGTTAAGCAAAGAGCAACAACTCGCAAATTCCATCCCAAACTCCCAAACCCTCAGCAACCCCTTGCCATACCTTGCCAATATCTTGCCCCATTTCGAGGCTGGGGAGACGTGCAGCGCGGCGACGATTTGTGGGGACAGCCAGAAGTATCAAGGCGCCCTTTCAAGTCTAATTGCAATTTGCTCCACAATGCACAGCGTGGAGACCATCCACAGACTCCTTGAGGCTTCTCTCCGCAAGAAGCATGCTGCCACTGCGGGGGCGGGCAGAAGGCACGACGGGTGCATCGCGGCAGCTTCCGAGAGTTCTCTGAGAGTTGTTCCGGGAGTCCGGGTGCCGGAGATGTATCTCTGTCGAGTTGGTTGCTACGCGAAGATGGCCCTGCGAGATTGTCCACAGGAAGCCAGAAAGTTCAGCTACTACGTTGGCCCTTTGGCAGTTGGGGCCACGAAGGTCATCGGATACCCAGTGCCACGAACTGCGCGCCCCTTGCCCCTGATTTGGCAAAGGCTCATTGCATCTCATTGCAGAACCGATCAGAAGCGTTTTGGCCGACCACGCTTTAAAGATCCCAATGCGTTGCTCCGTGTTGCGCCCATCATGAGAATGTGACAAGGGGGTTCAGCGACTGTGGCATGTCTGCTGCACGGCTTTTGGAACATCGCGCTGTCGAAACAGGCAGATCAACACACTGATCGCCATGACGATGCCTACGATGCATTGTCTTGCTTGTTACTACAGCAGTCGTAACAATACATTCCAGTAGCGGACATCACCGGAAACGAAAGTAACAAGCAGCAATACTTCACAGTTTACGCCTCTTGCTTGCAAGGTCTCTACTTCGTGGACAAGGCACATGATCCGTTTGTTACTTTGTTGGCTTGTCACTTCAGTTGCTAACCTTAGTACTGTTGAAACTTCCATGCTCATGCTGGAGCATTGAAAGCCATGTTGTTGCTCTGCATTTTCTCTGCTACTTGCCAGCGAGCGCGCATTCGCAAGCACGGCCAGGTTTGATTTTGTGGGCCACTTCATGTCACGCGAGGTCAGCTAAATGCCGACCACGCCCACCTCCGATGCTTTCTCTCACCTGCCCGATTGTACGATGCTCAACCCAATGCTAGAGCAGTTGAATGCATACGGCTTTTGCGGGCTCTTTCGTGACTGGCTAGTGTCGAGAACCTGCACCTTCGCTACTTGATTTGTTCAACCATCTTTTCATGGGTTGGGGGCTGGTATAAGTATAAATGGAATTATTTTAAGGGGCTGCGCCCATGGGCGGGCAGCGCAGGCAGAAGCGCGGGGCGAGCAGTTTCTAAGCATTTTGAGGCCCCTAAACTCCCTTACAATCTCTAAGCGTTCGAGGCTCCTCAACTCCCTTAAAGTTTCTAAGCATTTTCAGGCCCCTAAACTCGTTTGAGGCTCCTAGACTCCCTTAAAGTTTCTAAGCACTTTATAAGGCCCCTAAACTCCCTTTTTCCTAGCCCCGGGCTGAGACACGTCGCTTGTGCCCGCCCTTAGGGGGGCATCATGCTCCTGATGCGCCCCCGGGGTCCCGCCCCGGGAGCCGCCTGATGCTCCTGATAGGGGGGGGCCTCGGGCATGCACCTTAAAAGACTCCATTACTAACAGCAAGGGCAGCGCGGGGCGTCGGGCATGCACTAGAGCCCTAACAACACTCCATTACTAACGCGTCAGGGGGCAGCGAGGGCAAGAGGTAATGGCACTGGGCGAGGGAGCAGACAACGATGGGTCTTCACCGACGCCGCCCCCGCTCCGGCTGGGGTCGGCGGATAACATCGGTGCGTAAGTACGGAGCACTTTTGCAGGACTGCGAGCTGTCAAAGTACGGGCTGACCATCAACCCCACGACTGGGGCGGCACGACGGCAACGAGTCACAGGTTTCAAAACCTTGTGAGTGGTTGATGGTGAATGTTCTCTGTGTGTGTTTGTGTGTGTGTGTGGATTGGCGGCAATCATGGCCGTGGACGGTGGACTTGGACGAGCCGTTTTATGTTAAGTTTCCCCAAAAGCCACCAGCAACAACACGAGCAATTGTAGGAAAGCAACTTCAAGTTTCGACCTTAAAAACCCAGGGCTTCACATGTCATGCACAAAAAGCGTCCACCGAGGCCTTGCAGCTGGCCCCGGGGTGCAGCAAGGTCGGGTGTGGTGCGGCAGAGGAGTCTATCGATACTCAGCTTCATGGGTTCCGGAGTTGGGGATCGCAGCTTTGTACCACTGTAGTTTCGGGTGTTAGGAGTCAAGGACTGCAGAGGTGTTTGGTAAGGATGATGTATGGCTGTGAATGTTGTGCATGTGGGAGGCGTTGAGCCGTTGGGGATTGCCTGTTCTTGGTGCTTAGATCAAAATGCCGAAGAGGTAGGTCTTTTCAAATGGAGCGTGGCTCAGCTTTTCCTGAACCCTTGCAGCAGCAACACCCAGAGACGAAACATTCCCCTCGGACAACTCTCCGAGACTTGACGGTAGAAGGGTCGGGTTCACAGCTACAAAACGTCAGAGTTGACAGTGCAGCATTTGGCCGTGACAAGCATTGCGCAGTGGTTGGTTTTAGTCCTTGAAGATGGTCGCTTCTGGAACCCCGAAAGAGAAACTCACCTGAAGTTCCCAACTGCAAAAGAAACTAACTGAGGAAGTGAAGTGCACAATCGCGGCTGTGGAGGATGTTACGCAGGCCCCGGTAAGGTTCTTTAATTGTTCGGACTTGCCAGTTCTTCTTGCTTGCCAAAGCACCGGAACCTGGATGCGTGAAGTCCCTCTGCTTATTGAGACTAAGTGCAACCTTGAAGCCATGCAACTTGAACTCTTGACTCTTCACTCTTCATCCATAGATTAGGAAAGTCTTTCAGAGAGCTGCCTGTGTGTGTGTGCTCGCTCCTAAAAGTCGGGACAGCAAGCGCATCTGCGATTCTGGCCCTCAACCCCTATCTCTATACTTGGCTCCATTCACTGAATCCCAGGCCAACGGTGAACCACTTCACGCGCAGGCACCCTTAGAGGTGTTTGCTGGAGATGTGGCTGTGCAGCATTGAGAGTTCCGCTTGCGAACCGTAAACGTTTGTAGTTCCCTGAGCAGCATTTCACCGTAGGCTCGTCATGTCTGCTGGCGAAGATCCGAAAAGTGTGGGCGTAAAGTTTTCCGAGGCACGCATTAGCAAAATGTTTTGTTTGATGTCCAGCCAACGGATCAGATCGACGCAGTGCAGACACTCAAACATTACAGACGTTCTCGCCTTCTGGCGGTGCGGAAAGCTCGCGCTGTTCTACACAATCGTTTATGACAACTCCGCCACTGCCGTCATCCCGGGTTTTCCAAGTTTTGCTTTAACCGGCTGAGCTCCGGTGAGCCAGAATCAAAGCAGTGTAGGGGGTTACAACACTCGACCATAAACTGAAGGTCCTGTCATGACTACATCGTGCTTTTGGCATGCAAGTGGTAGACTGGCTCAGGTGAGCTACGGTTCTGGGCCGGTGGTGCTCGGCATGGACCGGACGACAAGCATTGCCCCCGCAGTGCACCTCGGCAGACTCGTTGAAGTCCAAACCTAACCCCTAAAAATCCTGCCTCAAGCCCGCTGCAGCTTCGAGAATGGCCCCCTCCAGCTCGAAACTCTGTCCCCTTCTCAAGTTGACGACATCCCAAGGAACCCGGACACGACAGCCGGCGACTTCTCAGGCCTTCGGGTTTGGCAAGGATTGAAGGTTGCAGTCAGAAACTCTGCATACTGCAGCCTCACCTTTCTGCTTCGATCACGTGTAAGAAGGGTCGGCAAGCAGGGAAACCTGGGCTCGTGTAAACACAAACCAAAGAACCCACAGCCTGAAGCCCAGAACAGTTCGTGCGAACATCCTATGTGAACGACCCACAGCCTATGCTCATTCCCGAACCTTCAGCGAGAAGGGCACTTGACCTCGACTTTCGTAGGTCTTTCCTGTGTCCCCGATGCCAGCAGCTTGGCAGACTGAGGTACATCCTGGGGAGGAGGTTGACCTCATTGACCCAACCTGGAGCCTTAAACCCTATGACGAAGAAGGGTCAGGATATGCCACGGGTCTGCCACGCCCAATTTTTTTGCGACCTGGGGCAGAAGTGGTGCGAAGGTTAAATTCGAGAAAAACAGTTAAAGGGGTTCTGGTAGCACTTGCCTTGTGTTTTCAGAGCAAAGGAGTTGCATCCAGCTGGGAGTTTAGATGTTCAGCTGTTTGTCTTCAGTTGTGAACGGTAGATGATTGGCACGCAGATGCCGAACCCGACGGACCCGACACTGGTCCTTTACGAACCCACATGTTAACTTCATGCTACTAGCTATTGGCAATTGCCAAGGTGATTGGCTGACGCTGGACTCTGGCACGGGCCAGCTGTCCTGGAGCTCAGCAGCCCCCAGTGGAGCAGAAGGCGATGTGAGGAGATGTGAGGTTTGGTGGTGCTTCGGGTGGGCTCGTCTGCATCACCAGTGTTCAGGGTGGAGTTGGCAAGCGAGCTCTCCTTGTATCGGGGGCGGCAACGAGCTGGCCTTGTTGCCAAGGAGGGGTGTTGAGGCTTTGCAAACCAGTGCAGAGCACGAAAGTACAGACAGGCAGCAGAGGAATAAAGTGCAAGTCACACTCTCATCTGCTGTGGACAGCAAAAACTCGTTGTCCGTGAGCGTGCCACGGCTTTGTTCCTGTGACTTCCTTTGGGGATCAAGCGGCAGTATTCGAACAGTTCTTCTAAGATCAAACAAGCGCATGGACATGCCTGGACCTCTTCAACAGGTTCTTAGCTGGTTCAACGATTCCAAAGTGTTTATGGGCTGACTCTTAGGAGCTCTTTGCTGCAGGTGGGTTGATGGACGACAAAGGCCTCATGGGCACAGGCGAGTGGTTTGTAGACTTGAGGGATGCATGGCCTGGGATTTGGCTCTTTAAACGCACGAAGTGTAAGGTAAGTAGGGCGTTTGCAGATTCCTGTTTCAAGCAATGACCTCAGCTGTGAGCATGTTCGCACTGGATTGAAGTTGAGCCCTCAACATCGAAAGCTTCGCACTCTGGGGTTTTGCGAGGATTGTGTGCGGCCCCTGGTGAGGCAGACCTTAAGTTGCAAGCGGAGCTACAGCTACGAATAGCCTTCCCTCGGAGCAGAGTCCAGGTGCCGTATGCTCTGTGGAGAAGGGCGGCGACGCACAGCTCAAAGTTGGCGCAGATTACTGTTGAAGGGGTATCGAGAGCATTTTCTGCTCAGTGGTAGAGTTACCGGTCGAGGTTGACTGTCCTTCCTTCTGCTCCTGTGGTGCAGTTTAATGCTCCTGAAGAAGAACAATACTTCCAAACAACACTCCGGCACACTCCCCGAGACGTGACAAAAACCAGATTAGACAACTTCGGCATTCAAGTTCATGCGTGTGCAAGCCTGAAGATGTTTTTTGTGCGCTTGCCATGCGACGTTGAGCATTGAGTCAGGGCACACTGGTCTTCTAGGGCACAGCCGTAGGTTTTCTGTGCAACCGCTTGAGGATCTGACATGCTCAGGTCAGTCAACATCTGCTTGAGCACACACCTTAACGTAAGCACGCATAACATGGGCCTTCGCCAAGGCCAAAGGCCAAGTGCTGGTGTGGTTGCCTTTTCCTTGGGCTCAAATGACGTACAGCTTCTCGGCTGGGTTGCATGTCGCACTTTTGCTGTGCGTTTTGGTTCTGTAGTCAGCCTGTTGCGCGCTGTGTCTGCGTCTTTCTGCGGATGTGGTGAGCCCTACGTGAAGGCAGCAACGGCCACATAGTAACGGGGAGGCTCCACTCAGACTGGTTCAAGAGGGCCAGCATGCGGATGACGAACGCATTGGGATTGGTTGAAGTTTACGGTAGTGTACATGGCACTCGGCGACACTTGCCATGGATTGGCTGAAAAAAACGTAAACAGCGTTGTGATATTGGTGATTATCTTGTGCGAGTTGACATGTGTGCATGACGAAAGGCCTAAATGTAAAACTGTTCTGGACTCGGCAAATGACATTCGCGTGCAGGAGGGGAGTTGCGAGGATAACGTGTTGCTTTGGACGTCTGAGTCAATACCAGGCTGCACGCTGCGGCCGAAGATCCTCTGCCAAGCAGTGCTAAGCCCCTAAGCTGGGCCCCCCGCGTTCTCCTGCAGCCCTCAGGCTCTGGGCCTTAAGGGCCTTAAGGCCTCCGTCTTCAACCAAACGCCCATTTGAAAGTCTAGCTCTGATTTTCGGTGAACCTCCTAGGCTATGCGTCAGACGGGCAGGCAGCCACGCTTTACGCCTCTTGGTCAAAGAGAGCAATCGAGAGCGTCCATTGTCTGACTTTGTCTGACTGTTGTTGAAGAGCAAGGCTACAGTGGGGGAGAAGTCACCGGTGCTGTCCGTGATATCTCCGAAGCACATGGCGCAGTCTTGCGTGCAGCTCAGATCAGCCCAGTCTCTCTTTGCTCCGCTTGGCCTTTGCATGAGGGGGTTTCTTCCCCAAACCCAGGATGCATGTGCAATTGCAGTCACATCTCACGGGGTCAGTAAAAGTGGTAAAAAAGCAATGGTAAATTATTCTTCAAAACTGGAGGATTACGGCTTCAGTTTGCCAAGCGCAGGAGTGTATACAAGCTTTTGATTGAAGATGCTTTGAGCGTTCAAGCTTTGAATGCTTTTGGTTTAGGCCCAGGCTTTTGGACTTGGGAGGTGTCTGGAAGGCTGCTTTTCTTGTGGCAACTTGAGCCGAGCTCGCGTCGCATTCAGAGCGGAGTAAGGCTCACTGCAGCAGGTCTGACTTCGATTTGGGCTTCTGGAAATGGAGGGGCTAAGAGTCTAGAGCTCGCTTTTAGTGCCTTTTGTGTGTGTACAGGTAGGACGGCTTGAGCAGCCCTTCAGAGGCAGAAGTGCACCTACCAAACAGCTCCTCGTCAAAGATCCTCCAGGCTCCTGCGTAAGCAGCCGGCAAAGGGCCATCCCTTACCCTATCTGCGCCAGATATGAGGGGTCCTGACCCATTGCTTCGCCAATCTTTGAAGGTTGAAGCCTTTCCCTCAAATCCCGACATCAAATTCTGGCAAACCATGTCTGGTGTTTGTCCATTGCGTCTGGGCCGCCCAGACCCTTCGCCGACGCGCTTTTCTGCGAGCTGTACAGGCGCAGACTTTGTCTTCGACGTGTTGACTGGCACCTTAGCAGCAGTAGAAGATGTAGTCGTCGTCGCCGCCGTCGTAGTCGTCGTCCTCGGAGGAGGAAGAGGTAGTCATAGTCTGTCTAATGCACTGTTCGGCTGCTGCGTGCCTGCACCCCCACCTCTGTATGTAGGGACCAAGACACGAACCCCCTACAAATAGACCATTTAGTGGGCCCCTGCAGGGACCCCAACATCTGGGACCTTTTCTACGAGTCCCCTGCAAAACCGAATTACGGGACGCCAGCTGTAGGCACACACCTTTTCGGACTCCCTTTCCCAACCCCCCTACAAGACTACGGGGTGCTCTGTAATAGTAGGGACCTATACGAAACCCGATTGCGGGCAACCCGATTACGAGACTCCCCCATTGCAGGAACCCCCTGTGTAATCTAGGACCCCCCTCGTCCCGCAAGGGATTTAAGCCAGGCGTTCGAAACCAGACCAATTTCTTGGTGGTGGTGTTGCTGCTGCTGTTTCTGTCATCTCCCGCTGAGCGCCTCAACTTGGCGCGAACCCCAAAGCCCAAACCCTGAACTCTTCAACCGGTCCCACCAGGTCTAGCCACGTGGGAAGGTCACCAGCATCCTGGCTGCACGGAACAGTGAAACTTGTGGTTAAGGAGTTAGGTGAGGAGTTTGGGTTCAGGCTTAAGACAGCTGAACGCAAGCGCTAGCAAAGTCTCGGGAAGGATCTTCCTGCTGGATGTCGCCAACGGCGACCTGCAGCTTAGCCCTGAAGAGTCCTTGACCAGGACCTGGGCTCGGTGACATGGGTTGCCCAAAGCCAAAGCTGGTGTAGTGTTTTCTAGTCGTTGAGTGTAGAGTAGGGGTTCTAACCATGAAAAAAGCGTTTTTACAATGACAAGGGTTTCTGTAACAATGATAGTGGTTTAGGGTTGGTTACGACCCCGCCTCTTGAGAGAGTGTAGACTCAGAATGGCTTCAGCAACAATCACATTCACAGTTGCAGCGAGCTGTAGGTGCCAAGCCGTACAAAATAACAAGCAGACCTTAGACAAAGAACTGCTGCTCCACATGACAATAAACAGGCCGTAGCAGGCCAATCTTCACTCAATACATGCATACCTTGGCAATACCTTCGCGGCTCCTCCTCCCTCACTCTGCAGGGCGCTGGATCGCACCGGGGTGGCCTGGCTCCTGAGGTTTGAGGATTCGTTGGAGGTCTTTCTTGCCAGAAGCACGTACAACATCCCCAATACACACAAAGGCACCCTAACCTGCTGCCTCCCAGAACCATTCTGGATTCCAAGGACAGCGCAGTCCGCCGGAGCATTGGGCTTCAGTGCACCATCTTCGGGCATTATGAGCAGCTCAGATGCTAAATCCCATCTAAGACCCCCAAGTTGTCGGGACTTAGACGACGGGCATCAACGGGCTCAGGTTTCGGTGCGTGCGGTTTGTTGTGGCTGGGGGTGCTAGCTGCAGACATGCAGACCTCCCACCCTGCGCAGCATGTGGCCAGGGGTTGTGGCACATTGCTAGTGGTGTTGGTCGCGCCCCTGCTGTCTCTTAAGTAGAAGGGCATATCGCAGGTGGGCGCCGATGGGACATGGCTCCGTCATCACTCACCGACTATCGATGGAGCTGAGGGACCCCGGGCTTCAAGAGCCCAGGGCTGCGGCGGAGTTTTCAGGTAGCGTCGGTGAATTGCCTTGCGGATGAAGTCTGACGAAGTGATGCCCACCCCAGTATCTTCAAACTGGGCCTCAACGACAGCGCGCGCTAGTTTTCGTTTTGCAGTCGAAGCTTTCGCATCATGGTGGCAGTCAGTCATCGTTTGGGTAGCAGTGCATGATAGTGCATGCTATTGAGAAATGGTGCAGCAGGAATCGTCCTGTAACCCTATTCAGGCCCGCCGACCAAATGAATCCAAGCCTTAGACCCCAGCATCAGGAGCATCGCCCTCATGCATCCTAAGCCCCTTTCTCGGCTGGAGGGGTTCGGAATTGCCAGACCCCTTCAAAAGGCCATAAATGCAGACCCTCCGGTGGAAAATGCCCGGGCGATCACAACGCGCAGGGCTATCGCCGGACCGGCCTGGCATGAACTTCAACCTCTTACTCTTACATTACCAAGCCAGAAGCCGCCTGTGCAGGACCACACCTGCTGGGCTCAGCAGGTCAGAAGCTTCTCCAGTAGGATAGACAAGGACGGGGTCTGCTGAGCCAGTCCATGGGTTGTTTTGTTTTTTTTTTTTTTTTGGGGGGGGGGGGGGTTGTGAAATGTATGGGACTCAGGGTAGGGGTGGCTCAGGTGGACCTGGGGGGTTAGGAGTCACACTCTGGATGCATGGTCATTCAAGACTGGTGGCATACGGTGGCATCATTGGGGGTTCTTCTGCTGAGGGACACGAGGTTTATGGGTTTGTAGTGCATTTCCTGGCAGCTGGCAGCTACTTAGTTGCTCTCTTCCTGCATGGCTTTGTGCAGTGGCATTTTGCCCGGCTTCCCAGACCCGCCTATTTGTCTTGAGCTGGCGTCCCTGATTTCGACTTGATAGGTTTTCTTGTCTACTCTTCAAGGTGACCCGCTCTGCTTTCCGCATCTATGTTGAACTGTTGTATGTTCAGGCATGCACTGCTGGCATCCATGTTCACTCTTCGGTCTCCGTGAATTGCAATGCCCTCATCATTCCTCCTCCGAAGGGCCAACAATCCGAAAATGCTTGCCGCAGCCTCTGCCGCAGCGAGCCTCTCCTAAACTTGAGGGCTTGCTCTTGGCCTGCGCTGATGATTGGGATTTCCATGGTTTGGTCTCAGGCTAAAGGCCATAACGAGGGCTTCCCGGCTTCCTTATAAAGACACGGATCCTATTGCGAAGCATCCGGCCCACGGACTCATCTCTAAAGTGTATTGTTGAGACATGCACCTGATCTACGAGCTCCTGTCCTGAAGTGAGCAACTTGACATACTTGACCCTGTGACTCCCGGACCTTGTTGCACCCTTCTGCCCAACTTTGATTCACTTCGTAACGCTCCTCTCTTAGGAAGCCTACTGCACGCACTGGGCCCTGGACGGCGGCAGCTGCTACTTCTACCGCGCCTTGAACCTGAACATCCTGAACCCCGCATCCGATCCTAAACGCAACTCGCACTTGTCCGGTGTAGTTTAGGGGCCCGTGCCTTTTTCAAGCTCAAGGGTTCGGACGGCCGTGCCTCGATCTGTGCTCTCAGCCGCTTTAAGTGCTTCGGGAGATTCGTTCCAGCAGATTGTCAGGTGGCCTGTGCAAGGGCTCACTCGCTGACAACTTTGCATGCGTTCACAAGCACGTGGCGAGCCCAGACTCCTTCTCTGGATTTCCTGCTTGAACCCGTGGGCTTACGGGCTGGAAATCATTGTAGGACTGTAGGAGTTGGCTTTAAATGTGTACTCGTAGCAGCGGCGAGGGGGTGAATGGTATGCTCGTCACTCGCCACGCTGCATCAGGTGACGGTCACAGAGCGCTACCCTGGATGCGGGGAGCGCCACAGCTGTGTGGACATCCAGTTGCTTGCCGAACGTTTGGTGTTCAGGGTTGCTTGAGTGTCTGGAGCGCTTCTGTTTCGAGGCCTGGACTTCGGGGGGGAGTTTGGGTCAGGCAAATTGTCTGCAAACCCTTGGCCACGCTCGTGGACACGTCGGCCACTGGGATTGTATGAATGTGTGGCAAACCCCGCCTTTTCTGGCACGCGCCATACCGACATGAGCGACTTTGCAGCAAGCAAAAACAAATGCGTGAGACTGCCGACACAAGCGACCACACAGCAAACGAAAGTGCCCCAGCGGATTTGAAGGAACCCGCCGCAAAAAGAAGGCGCCTTAAGCCTTAAGCGACCGCAGCAACGAAGACGACAACAGCAACAATTATTATTGACATTGTATTGAACGCTGAGCGAGCGGGCTCCGCTCATTGCGCGCGATAACTCACCTGAAAAGCACCTATTGGACAAGGAGCTAAGAACCGCAAGACTCGAGAACACCTGCGAGGTCTCACTACAATGAACAGATGCTCATCCTACAGTAAGCACTTAAAGATGAGAAGGCAAAAGGGACCAGCATGCTCAGAGACGTATTGGCAAGGGGGACTGCCCTGAGAACGTCGCAGGTGCCTACTTTATCCCGGTGTTTGGAGCAATGAGCGAACCTTTGCAATGTGAGCATCGGCCCTGCCATGTCCACAGCTTTGAGGAGCATGTACACCGATCCCCTATTGTAGAACAAAAGGCCAGGGAGCACAAGTGCCTGTCTCCAAAGAGAACGGGCAGGGCAAGTGAACTGAAAGGGAGGTAAAACACCTGCTTGGGTAAGCAAAAGGCCCTGAAACGCCGCTTGCTTTGAGAAGCGTAGCCGCCACCGGCAGGCACATTGGCCCATCGTCCTGCCGCGCCCAAGGACTAAGCGTTGGCCACATGACGGCGGCAGACACGAAGAACAAACGACCACGCGAAGACGAGCAAAGACAAGACATGTCGCCTGCAGTCACTTGACTTCCCTCGGCGTCCTTCGTCTTCACTCGGCGTTGTTCGGCGTCACTCGGCTTCGCTCGGCGTCGGTCGGCATTGCTTGGCGTTGCTCGGCGTCACTCGGTGTCGCTCGGTCTCGCTCGGCGTCGCTCGCGAAGACACGTGCACGAAGGCAAGCGACCACGCGAAGACGAGCATACGAGCGAAGGAATACGCCACCTGGCATCAATCGATTTCGCTTGGCGTCGCTCGTCTTCACGCGGCGTCGCTCGGGGTCGCTCGGCGTCGACGAGCGAAGACAAGCGAAGACGAGCAAGGACACACCGCGTGGTGTCACTTGACTTCTCGGAGTCCCTCGTCTTCGTGCGGCGTCGCTCGACGTCACCCGGCATGGCTCGGCAGTGGCCCGGCGCAGAGCGGAGACATGCGAAAACGAGCGGAGACACGCGAAGACGAGCGAGGACACACGTCACTCGGCTTCGCTTGGCGTCGCTCGGCGGGAGCGTTTTTACGACCATACTGCCGCTCCTCTCCATTTTAAAATTCCAACAATTTCCCTATGCCCCAAACCTCCCCGCCCACAGATCCCGCTGCAAGGCTGCCGGGCTACCACTACATTTCTGGCAAGTATTGTCCTGTCGGCGCTGTCCGGCTGCATATTTGCAGGGCTCGGCATGGGTTAACTTACAGGCAGCGCCCCTAGTAGGGGGTGGGGGAAGCGAGAAGGAAAGCAACACCTCCTGGCTGCAAGGTCCTTCTAAGTAGCGGGTCCTCAACCCAAACGGCAAGTCCAAGAACAACAAAACTTCGATCTTGAGGCGCTCACTGAGCCCTAGCCCAGTTTTTGACTTCAATTGTCAATGCCCAATTATTCTCCAAGGAGAATGCTGCTGTGGCACTGGGCCCTGTCCTTCGACTCAAGGGGATGGCAGCAAGGAATTTGGGGCCTTGCGGGCTTCCATTGCAAGGTGAAACATGTAGTATGTAGGGTACACGACAAGACACCCTGAAGTGCGACCAGAGTCTGACAATGCCCTAGCCACGAAGCATTCGTCCTCCTGTGGATGCCAGGTCTACTTCAAGGAAGGCTTGACGGCGGAGGAGAGTGATTTGAAGTGTTGAGCGTTCGTTGCAAGGGCTTGCGAATTTTGACCCTTAGGAAGTTGTCTGGAGGAGACGTGGTAGTTTTTGTGGCGGTGAATGGCCCGGATATGTTTAAAGCACTCCTGCGCATGCCGAAAGCGGGGATTCATCTTGTGGAGTTCTTCTAGTCTTCTAGACATGACCTTTACTGAGGGTCACAAGGGTGTACAAAAATATGAGGAGAAGTGGTAGCTCTGAGGAAGTGGTAGCTCAGAATCTGCGCATTTGACAAAGTTTGCCAAGGGCTACCAAATCCTGGCTTCGTGCCACAAGAGCACTGCTCGAAGTACACTCTGCGCGAGACCCGCCCCCCCTCCCGGCCCTCTCCCGGCCCTCTCCCGGCCCTCTCCCGGCCCTCCGGGCCGTCCGGGCCCTCCCCCCCCCCTGCGCAAGCAAGGCTTGGAGAGGCAGAATCAGGACTCAGGGCTCCCCTGAAAAACCCTCCCAGAGAGGCTCAGAGAGAGGCCCCAAAGAGACCCCCCCATGATGCGTTTCTTATTTTGTGGTTGTACTCCTCTGGATTCTTTGACTTTGTCTCGGGTTCCCCCACCCCTTCTTGGTTTTTTTTCTTGCGGGTTACACACACACACACACCTGCCTCGTAACACACTCCCCCTCTCAGACCCTGAGACGCCGGTCAAGAAGGGTGTGGAGAGGCAGTTTCAGGTTCTCCCCTACCCAATGTCTGCTGTGACAAGAGAATGAAATCTTGACGACTTCCACCCAAGCAACATCGGACATGAACATGGTCAAGAGCAAGAGAATGAAAACATCAATCACATCTAACCCCTGACCATCCCTGACCCATCCCAAGCCATCAGCAAAAGAACTGATAAGGAACAATAATGGCGTTTTGGACTTCGGAATGATGCTGCTATTGCAGCCTTGAGAGCCATTGTGCACCTCGCTTTAGCTTGCAACATTCGAAGAAGTGGAAAACCTGGCAATGCGGCAAGTAACGAGGGAGATGGGACAAGAATAGACGCGCACGCCAAACACGACAACAATGACAAGCTGTCCAGTCGATCCGCATCAGGTGTTTTCCTGAATTCGGACAACTTGACTTTTACATGCTGTTTTGTGCAGACGTTGTTGAGTTTCAGCTTGTGAAGCCCCTAACCTGGAACCTTTGGATCCTCGGATGCCCAAGGCCGCCCTCTCCTGTTCCGCAGGAAAGCTTCTGGCTGATGCGAAACGACGTCGCGACTCGAAGCACCAGTTGCGTTAATGGCTGGGTGATCGTGAAGCCCGAGCCCTCAGAGGCAGGGTTTACGGTGTGGCCAGGCTCTTTGTGCACAGGGCGGCCTTCCGATGGCACATGGCCTCTGGCTGGTGGGGTGAACAAGGGGGTCCCTCCAGCAAGGCCACATCACCTTATGCCCGTGTTACTCAGTCTTGCTCTTTCTCCGCATGTTCGCTTGGGTTCGCAGGACTACGAGAATCGGAGCTTAGACTATGTGGAGCTTCATGGGGAGACGGTGGCCTGCATCAAAAGCTACGATCTCCCCACCGCTGCGTGGCTGCAAGGGCACCCGCAAAGCTTCTTTCCAGAGAGGGACAGGTATTATGTTTCTGTGCCCTGTGAGCTGGAGAACCCATCCCGGACCCCTGATAGAAGTTGGCGAGCTGCTGAAATTGAAGTCGCTTCGAAAGGACATCTTCGGGCACCAGCGAATGGACCTTACGGTGCGGCCGACTTTGGGCAGAGTAGAGTGCGGTCGTTGAAATTCTTGCTTGCGATCCGAAACTTTTTAACTTGGACGTGCAAGCCATCGTTTGGGTAGCTCTGTCTCTCATCTTGGAAGACCGGAAGACCTAGAAATCTTATTTGCATGAACCAGAGATCGCGGCTCCAAACCTTGTCCATCACATGTGCCGAGAACTTTCAGTTTCGGACGCAATGAATTCGGGTCAGCGAAGGCTAACAGGCATGGCAGTACTTGTGTCTCGGTTTCACAGCCTGAGAAGCTTCTAACCTGCAGCAATACAGGTCCGGGCAGTTCTGGACCCGAGCCAGGTGACGCAGCTCGACGTGCAGGGCGCCACGGCCACCCTGGCCATACCGGGATGTGTGGCGCCATTTGGCTGCCCTGACATAGGCTGTTGAGGCATTTAGGGTGGGGGGATTTAGAGTTGGGATGCGTTGGGCTTAGATTCGCTTAGATGAAGGGGATGTTGATCTGCAGGGCTATGGGCTCTTAGCTTGCTCGCATGTGGGAGTCATACGTACCTAGGGTTAGCATAGCTCTTTTTCCCAACAACGTCTCGGATGTTGGGTTCTCGTTTAGGTTCAAAACGCGAGAGAGCGATACCGGGGAATGGCGGCGCGGGGAAAGCGAAACGGGGATGAAAACGCAGCGGGGATGAACGCAGCGGGGATGAGATCGAAACGGGTGATCAGAGCCGCGGGGTCAAAACGCAACGGGGATGGAAACGAAAGGGGGATGGCGTGGGGATCAGAAAGGCCGGATGAAAACGAAACGGGGATGAAAACGAAAGGGGGGTGGCGTGGGGATCAGGAGGGTGAAAGCGAAACGGGATGAAAACGAAGCGGGGATGAACGCAGTGGGGATGAGATCGAAACGGGTGATCAGAGCCGCGGGGTGAAAACGAAACGGGGATGGAAACGAAAGGGGGATGGCGTGGGGATCAGAAGGGCCGGATGAAAACGAAACGGGTGAAAACACAAACGGGGATGAAAACGAAAGGGGGATGGCGTGGTGATCAGAAGGGCAGGATGAAAACGAAACGGGTGAAAACGAAACGGGGATTTTCATTGAATTGTAGTGCAAATGTAGTACTGGGAGGACAGAGCCGGAGGGGCGCGAGAGCAGACTGCGGCACGTGTGACGTCGCGTACCGCGGCGCGGGACGCTGAGGGATTTTCGTTGAATTGTAGTACAAATGTAGTACTGGGAGGACAGAGCCGGAGGGGCGCGAGTGCGACGGCGCGTACGACGGCGCGGGACGCTGAGGGATTTTCGTTGACTTGTAGTACAAATGTAGTTTTCTGGGAGGACAGAGCCGGAGGGGCGCGAGAGCGGACTGCGGCGCGTACGGCGTCGCGGAAAGCTGAGGGATTTTGGTTGATTTCTAGTACAAATGAAGTATATACGTACTGGGAGGACAGAGCCGGAGGGGCGCGAGAGCGGACTGCGGCACGTGCGATGGCGCGTGGGGCGGCGCGGGACGCTGAGGGAGTTTCGTTGAATTGTCGTAAAAATGTAGTACTGGCAGGACACAGCCGGAGGGGCGCGAGAGCAGACTGCGGCACGTGTGACGTTGAATTATAGTACTGGGAGGACAGAGCCGGAGGGGCGCAAGAGCGGATTGCGGCACGTGCGACGGCGCGTACGGCGGCGCGGGACGCTGAGAGATTTTCGTTGCATTGTAGTACAAACGTAGTACTGGGAGGACAGAGCCGGAGGGGCGCGAGAGCGAACTGCGGCACGTGCGACGGCGCGTGCGGCGGCGCGGGACGCTGAGAGATTTTTCTTGAATTGTAGTACCAATGTAGTGCTGGGAGACAGAGACAGAGCCGGAGGGGCACGAGAGCGAACTGCGGCATGTGCGACGGCGCGTACGGCGGCTCGGGACGCTGAGTGATTTTCGTTGAATTGTAGTACAAGTAGTAGTACTGGGAGGACAGAGCGGGGCGCGAGAGCGGACTGCGGCGCGTACGACGGCGCGTACGGCGAGAGCGGACTGCGCGCGTACGACGGCGCGTACGGCGGCGCGGGAAGCTGAGGGATTTTCGTTGAATTGTAGTACAAAAGTACTGGGAGGACAGAGCCGGAGGGCGCGAGAGCGGACTGCGGCGCGTACGCGTCGCGGGAAGCTGAGGGATTTTGGTTGATTTCTAGTACAAATGAAGTATACGTACTGGGAGGACAAAGCCGGAGGGGCGCCAGAGCGGACTGCGGCGCGTACGACGGCACGTACGGCGGCGCGGGAAGCTGAGGGTTTTTCGTTAAGTTGTAGTACAAATGTAGAACTGGGAGGACAGAGCCGGAGGGGCGCGAGAGCGTACGACGGCGCGAACGGCGCGGGAAGCTGAGGGGTTTTCGTTGGCTTGTTGTACAAATGTACTACTGGGAGGACACAGCCGGAGGGGCGCGAGAGCGGACTGCGGTGCGTACGACGGCGCGTAAGGCGGCGCGGGAAGCTGAGGGATTTTCGTTTGAGTTGTAGTACAAATGTAGAACTGGGAGGACAGAGCCGGAGGGGCGCGAGAGCGTACGACGGCGCGTACAGCGGGCGGGAAGCTGAGGGGTTTTCGTTGGCTTGTAGTACAAATGTAGTACGGGGAGGACAGAGCCGGAGGGGCGCGAGAGCGGACTGCGGTGCGTACGGGGATCCAAGATGATGAGTTCTGACATGTTCTGACCGTGTACAACCAAAGCCAACGCGCAGTCTCTGTCGATACTCTTCCGACAGACACGCCATAACATGAGGTTTTTCTCTTCAAGCTACCCTGCGTCGCCTTACTACCTTCTTATACTGATTATACTGTCTATAAAATGTGCATACGGCATACGGAATGGATGTTAAAGTGGGGGTTTCACTCCGGCATACTCCGGCACTGTTGTCATGCGGATTGTTCTTGGGTTCCTGGCTTGACCTTGTTGTTTGGATGTTCCAGTCCGGGACACTTTAGGCATGCAACGAACCCCAGGACATGTAATCGATGCGTAGAACAACTTTGCAAGGGCCCGCCGGCCGGCCGTCTGCAAATGTCGGCCGTCGTGATGTAGTGATGTTGCGAGCTTGGATGAACTTGACGCTTCTGATGTATATGTTGCATTGGTCGGCTGTCCTGTTGTGGGCTTCTAAATATATTCCCAATGAACAGGGCTAATTTGTTCGGGAAACCTACGTACCACATCGCTGACTACAAACCCGGGCACCGAAAACTTGCACCGGAAGTGCAGCTGCAACACACCCAGGCCCAATGTCACAGCGGTGGAGGAGGATGATGATGAGGATGCCAAAGAGTCAAGCGTAGAGCCGTTGGTGCCGCGAGGGCATCAGGACAATGTGGTCAGTGTAAGTTTCAAGCCCTTGCTTTCTCTTCTCATCTTGCCATCTGCAGTTGATGAAGTTCTGGGGTTTGCGATGGGTAGAGAAGGGTGCGATCAAAAACTGCTGTAAGAGGTAAGAGTTTGGTCACCTGAGGCTTGCTTGCTTCGGATTCAACTGAGAGAGTCGTTGCTGTGTTTACGCGCGCTGTTCAGCGAAAACGACGATCCTCTCCGGTGTTGCCGTGGCCATGTGATGCTCTCGCGCCTCTGTTTCGCGCACCACGTTGTCATTGCACTGCCCTTTTGCGGTGTCAAGTGCAGAACTCTCGATGCTTTCAGGGTCTTGGATCGCACCGCAGTCTGTGCGCACGCTCCGCGCAAAGCGTCGCAATCGAGATCGTGCTCGCGACTGCATTCCGGGCGCGTAAGGCGTAGGAGTTGATATAGAGAGGTGGTGCGTTGCAGGGCAAGTTGTGAATCGCTTGAGCAGCGAGGTCTGGCGCTCAGGGTTTGGTTTCGGCTTTTGGAGCGTGGGAGGCACGATTTGAGCCCAGGCTCCATGCGGAGCTGCCGAACTTAGTGCGTGATAGGCGAAGAAACATTGTTCAGCACTTTATGGACGCAGATTCATGTAGTGTCATGTAGTTGAAGCAATTGCGTAGCAGGTATTGTGGTGCTCTGCTCAAAGTTGAAAGGTTTCAGTGCAGCAGGTGGTGTTCCACAAGGTTGGTCCCAGACCAAACTTTGCACGGGCGAGGTGCTGGACGACCCGGCGTCGGATGTGGTGGACGACCACTGGCTTCATCCGTGTGAATGTGTTCCTCTGCAGGAATTGGAAGCAGAAGTAGGGCCTGTTTTCGGCATCACTTTGATGAGCAGTCCCAGCAACTCTGGTTAGAGGTAGTCTTGTGCAACTCGCGCTGCTGGCTGAAGCTTGTGGATTGCCCAAACTTGTTAGAGAGCTCTTTGTATTTGCAGCAGTTGTGGCAGCATGTTCAGTGAATTGCCCTCGGGGTTGGAGCCTCGCAGAGACCGCAGAGGGCAAGTTAAAGGGCCTCCATCAAAGCTCGAGATGCTGAAATGGCGTAGCAGCGTAGCAGCTTCTTGCATTCACGTCCCTGCAGAAACTCAGAAGTGCTTCAAATAGGCGACTGATCTGAGGGCATTCCTGCTAAAATCACAACTGTGAGCTTTTAGCCAGTTGGTCCTCAACATCAGCTTCTCCTTAGTAGAAGAGCCGTGCTAAATGGCGAAACCCTTCAACAAATAAGCAAAAAATTGAAAAAGGGAAGGCCAATTGCCTGCAGAAAGGGGGAGAGT